CCATCTTGGACATCGGATTTTCAGGTATAAGCTTTACAGTCGCCCAATTGTTGCTTAAACCCAAACCAATTAACCTCAAGTTTTTGTGCCGGTGTACACCCACGCCATCTAGATCCGCCCCTTCTCCATGCCCCAGCTTCGGTCTCAGACCTTGATCTGATGCCGTGTCATCTCAAAATATAAGTCTAAGAGAAACTTTATCTCTTGTGAACTCGGGACAGTCTGCTTGCCGCAAAGTGCGTTTTCTTCTTGTTTTTATCTCTATAGAAATTAGTAACGACTGTTGCTCATGCGATGATCCCGTGAGAGTTGCGTCACAGCTTGAAGTGTGGTCATTGTCAGTCAAAGGCTTGCAATTTGTTTAAAGCAATTTATAGTCGAAAGGTTTAATCGCTCTAACTGCTAATTCGGTTCTTCTGAAATCTGCTTGACCTAACTAATGTTCCAACGATCAAGTTTTACTTTTGCATCTTTGCTAACTCATGGGGTCAATGCATCTATTCTGCTTGTGAAAATCAAAAGATAAACATGTGTGCGAATCATAACTTATTCATTGATCCCCAACATTTATCTGCCATTGGCAGGTTTCCGCTCTTTGGCTTGCAAGGGACTGAATGGAGCTCAAACTAGCTTTCCCCCAGGACAGCCCACCACTTTCCATCATTTCGGCTGCTAAGATTGCAGGTGTTCCCCTAATCATTGATCCAACCCTTGCCTCAGGTTCAGTGCCCACACTACACTTCAGTTCTGGGTAAGTGATAAATGTTCAAGTATAATTCTCTCGTTTCTCTCCGATTAACTGCTACATTCCTTATGTTACAATTACTGTGGACACTTTACTGCCATGATAAATGTTTGAATAGTTCCTGTAGTCGACTCTGAAGATTAGCTCTTATTTTAATCTCCTCGTCCTAATATTCTTGGTTCAAGGAAATTATTGTGATGGAACTGATGACTGTTAGAACATGATGTGTCAATCAAAACAGTTTTATTGGTGAAATATCGCAGTATTTTTGTTTGGTACGTTGTAGTGTCTCAATGAATCTATCATGATTCTGTACAGGGATTTTATACATGGTGTCAACACAATTCTCCGGTACATTGCACGTGCTGCATCTCTTTCCAGCTTCTATGGCCAAGACGATATTCAGGCAGCACATGTATGTTCTGCTTTTATGGTGTTTGTAATTGATTTTCAAGATCATCTCACTATTTCCTGAGTTGCTATTGTTTTCACATCTGTAGGTTGACCAATGGCTCGAGTATGCACCACTCATTCTGTCAGGCTCTGAATTTGAAGCTGCTTGCTCATTTCTTGATGGATACTTGGCATCTCGAACCTTTTTGGTTGGTTATGGTCTATCAATTGCTGACATTGTTGTGTGGTCAAATCTCACAGGTAATTTTCTGGCTTTCATTGTTGAGTAATTTATTGGTCTCTCTCTCTCTCTCTCTCTCTCTCTCTCTCTCTCTCTCCCTCTCTAACAACTCTTTTCCTCAGGAACTGGTCAACGATGGGAAAGTCTAAGGAGGTCAAAGAAATATCAGAGCCTTGTCCGCTGGTTCAACAGCGTAGCTGCAGACTATGCAGACGCGCTAGATGAAGTTACATCTGCTTATGTTGGAAAACGCGGAATTGGCAAATCTCCTGCGCCAAGCTTGAAAGAAAAGGTGCCTGGTTTGAAGGAGAATACGTCAGGTCATGAAATGGATCTCCCAGGTGCTAAAGTCGGGGAGGTTTGCGTTCGTTTTGCCCCAGAGCCTAGTGGGTATCTCCACATAGGTCATGCAAAGGCTGCACTGTTGAACAAGTATTTTGCAGAAAGATATAAAGGGCGTTTAATAGTTCGATTTGATGACACAAATCCTTCTAAAGAAAGCAATGAATTTGTTGAGAATGTCCTGAAAGATATTGAGACACTTAGGGTTAAATACGATGTAGTTACATACACATCAGATCATTTTCCAAAGCTAATGGAAATGGCTGAAAGTTTGATTAAGCAGGGAAAGGCATATGTTGATGATACACCCAAGGAGCAAATGAGGAGTGAAAGGATGGATGGTGTGGAATCTAAACGTAGAAACAGTACTGTCGAGGAGAACTTGTCGCTGTGGAAAGAGATGGTTAATGGCACCAAAAGGGGTACCGAGTGCTGTGTACGTGGTAAACTTGACATGCAGGACCCAAACAAATCACTTCGAGATCCTGTTTACTACCGTTGCAACCCTGATTCCCATCATCGCGTTGGCTCAAAATACAAGGTCTATCCAACTTATGACTTCGCTTGCCCATTTGTTGATGCACTAGAAGGTGTGACTCATGCTCTTCGTTCAAGCGAATACCATGATCGGAATGCACAGTACTATTGTATCCTTCAAGACATGGGCCTGCGGAGGGTAGAAATCTATGAGTTCAGCAGGCTGAATATGGTTTATACCGTTCTTAGCAAGCGCAAGCTTCTGTGGTTCGTCCAAAACAATATGGTGGAGGACTGGACTGACGCACGCTTTCCCACTGTACAAGGCATTGTACGCCGTGGCTTGAAGATTGAAGCATTGATCCAATTTATACTGGAGCAGGTAATTTTCTAACAAGTTGCTCTTCATGATCTTGCAACTATATGTGTATCTGAGTAACCGAGTTATTAACTCCCTTTTTCTTTTTTTTGTATTTCCTATTTGTGAAGGGTGCTTCAAAAAATCTCAATCTTATGGAGTGGGATAAACTCTGGACAATCAACAAGAAGATAGTTGATCCTGTGTGTGGAAGGCATACTGCTGTGCTGAAAGACAAACGTGTGCTTTTTACCCTTACTAATGGTCCAGAGGAACCATTTGTTCGAATCTTACCAAGGCACAAGAAACACGAGGGTGCTGGAAAGAAGGCTACGACGTTTGCAAACAGAATTTGGCTAGAGTATGCTGATGCATCAGTCGTTAGCGTGGGCGAGGAAGTTACTTTGATGGACTGGGGAAATGCTATCATTAGAGAAATCAAGACAGATAATGGAACAGTTACTCAACTAGTTGGTGAACTCCATCTTGAAGGGTCAGTGAAGATGACAAAGCTGAAACTAACATGGCTATCAGATATTGAAGATCTTGTGTCTCTCTCTTTGGTAGATTTTGACTACCTAATTAATAAGAAGAAGGTAAGAACTCATGTTCTAAGTTCATCTTGGTAGGCATGCAACCACATGGTTACCAGAACCATATTCTTATACTACATATGTGCTATCGTTCTAATAGTATGCATGCTTTTTCACTTAGACTAGTTAGGTACTTCTGTGGCACAGTTACTATGTTTTCAACTACGCGTGTTTTGTGCTATTGTTCTAGTAGTATGCATGCTTTTTCACTTAGACTAGTTAGGCTTTTTCACTTGGACTAGTTACATAGTACTAAAGTAGCACAGTTATTGTGTTTTTAACTATGCGTGGTTTGGCCAACTTATATTACCTCAACAGTCAACAGCTTGAGACTTTTGATGAATTGGTTGGTCCTTCGGAACTCAACATGGCAACCTATCCATATTCTGCCCTACTAGTGTTATATGTATGTCATGATGTTTCTTGGATGAGTTGTCTCTTCCATCATTGTGTCCATGTCTCATTCCATCATTGAGTGGTATCTTCATGTACTTTAGATTCTAATATCTAGCACATTTTGCAGCTGGAAGAAGATGAGGACTTCCTTGACAATCTCAACCCTTGCACTCGGCGAGAAGCTTTAGCTCTTGGAGACCCGAACATGCGGAATGTGAAGAAAGGAGAAGTTATACAGCTCGAAAGGAAAGGCTATTACAGGTGTGATGTTCCATTTATCCGGTCGTCCAAACCAATTATGCTTTTTGCCATTCCAGATGGCCGACAGAAGTCCACGTCGATTGGAGCCTAGCTTCTACAACGATGTTAGTTAAATTGTGGTACTTCTTTGGGCATTAAGTTGCAGCCTTATTGGTATCAAAACTGGTGTTGTAATTCAGATTTTGGTTCTTTAGTGTCTCGGACTTGGTTATCCAGTATCAGTTATGTAATTTCCTTTTACATGTTTGAGTATATGCCAACTGATACCGGGATATGTGGATTGTGGAACAAATATCAAGATGAGGATTGGCTTATCGTATCCAGATCCATGGTAAATGTCTTGTCTGAACATTAAAGAATGTTCCTGTTGAAATACTGCCATGTTTCAAACTCAGTTGCTCTTATATTTCATCTGCACTGCAGTCCTTTTTGGGACTGGGGCTGCACTTCAGTCCTTAACCCTGGGGTTTGTCGGATGAAACACCGGTTGATCTGTCGTGTTCTTGCAGCATAACGGTGTGTCTTGTGTAAGGGGGTGTTTGGTTCGGCTTACTTTGCCTTTTGAAGTTTGGCTTAAAGACGAAAAGCACCTGTTTCTGTTCTTTTGGCTGAGCCAAAGTTAAGCCTAACCAAATATTCCTTATATCTGCTAAGGTTTTGACGTGGGCTAGTACTGCCTACCGTGTCCGATGCCGTGAAGGCTGACTGATTTGTCCAAATTTTAGCTTCTGTTTTATCTCCTCCAGCTTTACAGGACAATTCATGTGCAAGAAAATTGGTGACAAAATTCTGCCAAGGCAAAATTTAGCATACATGGGCATCAAACCAAACAAGCATAGTTTGTGATGGATCACCGGTACAAACTTTCCAAGAAAATAAGAGATGGCAGCATCCTTCCGAGGTATTGTCAAGCTGACGAGAAGTCATGAATACTAATACTATGCACAATGCTGATCATAGAGGTCATCATGGCACAAACACCCAAACAGGCACCTTAACTAGAAATATCCCAGCTCCAGCAAGTAAAGAGTGTTTGTATCCAAATTTATCTTCATACAAGAGACAGTTTCCCTTGCTGCCATTACCACTTCAAAAAGTAACTGCATTCCTATGAAAAGTACATGAACAAAACAAAAGCGAAATAGCCGTGGGTGTTGACAACAGATCCTTGGCTCCTTGCATGGGTACAAACTGTTACTTCCTCAGGCTGTTCTCTAGTCTGTCTATAGCAGCCCCCACACGACTTTGATTGCCTTGTAAATCTGATGGCGATTTTGAATTTTCAATCTCAAGATTGGCCTTCTCTGCCAGCTTCAACTGTACCCAACCTGTAGAAGAATTCCCAAGGTGAGCTTCTTGAGCAAATAACCACGCCATAACTAGTTCACATGGTGTATAATAACCATTGTTTAAGAATGACATGACGCTGCTAACTTGGTAATGCAGATGCTTATGTCAAGATGGTTGTATACAAATAGATTATGTGCATGTGCTTTCTAATAATAATAACACTTGTTAACGCATCCCCCCACATGAAGAAGGAACCTAGGTGACTGAGATTTGGGCACAAAGTACATAATGAGAAGGTAGCATCAAACTTCTACATTTCAAGGCTAAGCTGAAGATGTGAAAAGGTGAAATTATAAGCTACCCATAATGAGACAAGTTCAAACATTCTTAAAAGAATGAAACACGAGGGCTACAATTAAGTATGGAAGAAAGCATTTCACAAAGATGCTAAACAATTCATTTACTTTGCACTAAATTCTATACTACCATAGAGGATATTAGACATCTATTAACAGTTGCATCAGCAGGTCCATAACTAAACAGCTCACAAACAAAGGTCCATAACTAAACAGCCCACAAACAAAGGTTCATAACTCAAAAGCCCACAAACGAAGGTCCATAAAAACAAAAAGAATGATCTGTACATTCGAGAAAGCTAGTATTGATAACCACTAAAAGTATACGGAGATGAGAATACCAAGGGGAAAGCAAATTCCGGCACCGAGAGCAGATCCAACCAATACATTCCTTGCACGCCACATTGGTGAACCAGGCACTGAGGGTATAGACATCAGTTCAGATGAATCCAGTATACTGAGCGATATCAGTTATCAATAGTAAATACAAAAGATAATATTATTTACAGTTTCTGAAGATATATGCTGATTATGGATATCAAGAATCATCAAGATATTTAGGCAAACATTATTATATGAATTCCTCCTCCACTAAGTAAAGTAATGAAAAAAAAAATCAAGTATCTTGATTGATGTAAAACACCTATTAGACGCATCTTGGCAGGCCAATTCCATCAAAACATATATCCGATACTGCAATCATCAAACGTTAGGGGCCACATAGCCATAGAAGGCCCCTAGAGGCAGCCAACCTTACAGTTAAACTAAATAGCCTGTGATAACTGATAATTTCATCATGGCACACAACAAAATATTAAACATAGAATACTAGTTACAAACCAGGATTAGCCATAGGCCCATAGCACACTGAGGGTATATCTGGTAAACTTCTACTCCCTCCGTTCCCAAATACTTGTCTTTCTAGGCATTTTAAATGGACTCAACATATTTTAAAGTGTAGATTCACTCATTTTGCGCCGTATGTAGTCACTTGTTGAAATCTCTAGACAAGTATTTAGGAACGGAGGGAGTAATAATGAATGCGGTGCTGCTTTATATTCTACTTTACTCACTTTTGTACTCTTCTGTATGTAATTCATACTGTAGCAAACACATTTCATAAGCTTTTCAAGTTATAAACTATGATAATATATGATAATAAGTAAATGTTTTTCGGTGACCAATGCGACGTTTTAACCAAGTGCAACTAAAACCCAAGATTTTATATGGTGAAATACATACATATAAGCCCAAAAGCAGCTGCGGTAGCCGAGCCAGCTCCAGCAATGTTGAATACATCATGCACCCCACGGTTCTCAATAAGAAGGTTCTGTATGCCAAAGAAAGTTGCAGTGAACATCCCAAGGCGAGCACCACCAACTAGTGAGCCTTTGGCAACCCGGATGAACCTTTTCTCCATGGCATCTCTCATCAACCTATACTGTTCACGCTTGTCTGTGGTGCTTCCCATCTTCAACATCACTTCAGCATCTTTGCTCTGTAAAATAGGATACGGATGTAGTTTTCACAGAAGTTATTCTTTTGGCCTAAAGCATGCTACTCCCTCCGTCTCATAATAATATAAGACGTTTTTGCAAGCTGTGTTAGCTTGCAAAAACGTCTTATATTGTGAGACAGAGGGAGTAATATTTAGAGGGAAAGGAGTGAAATATCATCCTCAACAAAAAGAAAGAAAGAAAGAAAGAAAGAAAGGGGTAAGCATCTAATCAAAATTTTGGGATACCAAATCCTGCGTAGGAGAGGAGTAATTTCCTATAGATGTGTTCTGATTCAATACTGTCGCAGAAGGCAGTCTGTATTTTGTACTACAACAACAACAACAACAACAACAACAACAAAGCCTTTAGTCTCAAACAAGTTGGGGTAGGCTAGAGCTGAAACCCAAACAAGTTGGGGCAGTCTGTATTTTTGTAATTTTACAAAATTCTACTAGAACTCTAGTTCCTGTATATGTGTTCTCATTATTATCACTGACCAGCTCCATTTTTACATCCACAAAGGTTACATACGAGGCAGTAACAGAAACGAGGATGTTATAATGGAGTGGGGCGGCAACTTACGACGTTGGCGTTGGCCTCCTTGGCCCCGCCGTAGAGAAGCCCGGTGAATACGCCGACGAGGGTCCCAGTTCCCCAGCTTACTGTCCCCACCGGCCCGGCCCTCGACGGCGTGCCTCCCGCATCCGCCTCAGCCTCCTCCTGGGTCATCCGCACCAAAAACACGTCAGAAAAATAAATAAGGACATAGCTCTAAACCATAAGCAGCATGGGACAGGTCGCGAACCGCGGGGGAGGTAGAATCTGGCGAATTTGGCAGCGGCTCGGCGGGAGGAGGCGTCGGGGCGGCGGGAGGAGGCATCGGGGCCGCGGGATCTGCTGCAGGGCGGTAGCCCGCTGAGCACGGAGGAGACGCTCCAAATAAAAGCAAAAACAGGAGGCACTTCGAGCAGGCTGATGTTGGGCACGGCAGGTCAGCGCCGGCGGTGGTGCGTCGCGGCGGCGAGATCACCGGGTGGAAATGGGAAGGGGAGAAGGTCCAAGTGTATGGGCTTTTTTCCAGGCTGGGCTCGTACTGTTGTTTTGCGTGCTCTCCCAGAGCCCACCAAAGAAAAGGCAAGCTATACATGTATTCCTCTCGAGTATGCCTAAAAAAACGTATTCATCTCAAGTTTGCTAAAAAAACCTGATCCTCTCGAAAAATAACTATATACAGTATATGCTAAAAAAAACTATACTGAGTGTTGGCTTTTTCGGCAAAACATGGATTTTATTTACTCAAAATGGATACAAACACAATAAAAACATATCCGGCTAGTGCATAGGTAGAAAGCACACAACCAACATGGCACACACTAAAAAACATTGCAAATAGCAAAGTCAAAGATGCCAAGAGCATCTCCTATAAAAGATGTAAATTTGAAGATGTAAAATTCACATCTCCAAAAAGTGTCTTTTACATCTCCAAAAAAGAGACAACTCCAACAAATAATATATTTTAAAGATGTAAAAAAGCAACTCCAATAGATGATGCAAAATGAAGATATAAAAATTGGCCGCCGGCCACACGGTTATGTACAACCATTGTATAGCCGCACAAATTGAAAAAACATCCCGAAAACAACTTAAAAATTTCACATATCCACAATATCAAATTATTAACTTAATTCATCAAATCCACAAGATCAAATGCAGCACAAATACAAAAAGGTTATTGCACAATACAACAAACAAATAATGAAACTAGGCGGCTATTTTGCCATGTCATTTCCAGTACTCCTTCATCAAATCCTTCTGAAGTTGATCGTGCACATCGAAGTCTCTAATTTCATTGTACACCTTTATGAAACGCCAGATTCACTCCTCTCTTCTCATCGGCATAACACATAGGCCCATCAAATGATAGAAGGTGTAATCTAAATCCTGTCCACGTACGTTCTCAATGATTACGTTATGCATGATCACACAAACAGTTATGATATACGAGTTTTTTATCCCAGAATCTAGATGGTCGTCGCACAATAGCAAATTGGGACTAAAATCCCGAAAGCCCTCTCAACATCTCTCCTAGCCGCCGCTTGTGCATTGTGAAATATGAGTTCTTTCTTACCTTGGGGTTTTGCAATTGGCTTGACAAAAGTACACCACCTCGGGTAGATCCCATCCGCAAGATAGTATACATAGTTGTATGTGCCGCCATTTGCTTCGAAGGTCACTGGTGGTGCTTCTCCATTTGCTAACTTGGCAAAAAGAGGTGACTGGTTGAGCACGTTGATGCCATTGCAAGTCCAAGCAGCTCAAAATATGAATGCCAAAACCATGTTTCTTGATCGACAACGGCCTCAAGAATGATAGTGGCATCCTTCCCACGACCCTTAAACTGTCCATGCCATGCTTTTGGGCAAATTTTCCATTTCCAATGCATGCAATCGGTGGACCCTAGCATACCTGAAAACCCATGAGTTTTGTTCATCTCCAAAATCCTCGGGTCCCGATGGGTTTCCCGCGCATTTTTTCGAGAAACATTGGGTTGTGTGCGGGCAGGAGGTAACATCAGTTGTTCTAAAAATTCTCAAAGGCCAAGAGAGCTGAAAAGGTATAAATAAAACGTTCTTGGTCCTAATTCCGAAGGTAAAAAATCTGACTTTGCTATTATAGTTCCGCCCCATCAGTTTGTGCAATGCTTTATATAAGATAGCTTCCAAGGTTATTGATAATCATTTGAAGCTAGTGCTTCCTAAGATTATTTCGGCAAAACAGTCAACATCTTTTCTGGTTCGTCTGATTACAGACAACATCATTGTGGCCTATGAGTGTTTACATTTTATGAAGCGAAATAAAGCAGTCAAGCATCATCATTGTGCTCTGAAGTTGGATATGATGAAAGCGTATGACCGAGTAGAATGGGACTATCTGAGAGCTATAATGCTGAAACTGGGCTTCTCGCATAGGTGGATGAATATTGTGATGAATATTGTCAGCTTGGTCTCATACTCAGTTCCATTTAATGGAAAGAAATTGGAGGAATTCAAACCTAGCAAAGGTATTCGCCAGGGAGATCAAATCTCCCCTTGTTCTTGTTCGCAGCGGAGGGTCTTTTGGGCTTGTTAAAAAAATCTAAGTGAGTCATCTAAACTTGGTGGGATTCAAGTAGTGCCATCGGCACCGCCTGTTAACCACTTGTTATTCGCAGATGATAGCTTGCTGTTCTTCAAAGCAACTGGTGGAGGGGCGAGAGAAGTATCAAACCTGTTGGATAAATATTGTCTAGCTTCAGGTCAAAGAACCAATTCTTCCAAGTCATCAATTTTCTTTAGTAAAGTTTGTCCTTCACATATCAAAGAAGAGATAAAAGGGATTCTAAATGTGTCGAATGAAACTTTGAATTACAAGTACCTAGGCATGCCTTCTGATATAGGTACTTCAAAATTTGGTGCTTTCAAATATCTGAAAGATAGGCTATGGAATAAGGTGAAAGGGTGGATAGAGAAGTCCCTGTCCTCAATTGGGAAATAAGTTTTAGTAAAGTCAGTGGCACAAGTTGTGCCATTTTTCTTTATGTCTTGCTTTAAATTACCAAGGGGGCTGTGTGAACATCTTAACAAGCTCATTAGGCAATTTTGGCGGGGGAGTAAGGAAGGAAAAAGGAAGCCATCTTGGGTGTCATGGGAGACTATGACTCAGCCAAAAAACATGGGAGGTCTTGGTTTTCGTGATTTTGAGCTCTTTAATCTAGCACTTTTGGCACGACAATCATGGAGGATGCTACAACAACCGGATTCTTTGTGTGCTCGGTTGTTGAAGGCAGTCTATTTCCCCAAGGAACCATTGTAACACCCCAAAAATTTAACCATGATTTATTGATTAAATTTTTGCCTTGGTAAATTAAATTTTTATTTTCTGGATTTTTCTTTGATTCAGAACCACTCTTTTCTTCTGAGTTGTGGAGTTTCCACCCCAAGTAAAAACTTTTCAAATGTTGTTGGACTTGTATACCCTCTCTAGAAACATTTCTTTTATCAGAAGAATTATTTATACAAGTACTTTCCCTGAGCTTTATTTCTTTTGAAAATGGTTTCTCATAAGCCTTAGAGCCTCTTTTGCACTACAACCCTTTTTATAATTTAAAAATAGCACCAAAATTTGGGGATGACATGTGATGTTCCTAAATCACTTTTATGCAAAAATATCTTTTAGTCATTTGGAGATTTTGAGCTCTACCCCAAGTTTTCAAATCTGGTCCAGTTTGCACTTTTGCACTACAACCTATTTAAATATTCCTTTAAAACTTCCACCAAAATTAGGGGATGTCAGTAGGAGTATATAATTCAACTTTGTGCAAAAAAAAAACCACTGGTGTTCTTTGATAAATTTGAGCAAAACATCCTCTTTTGCTCTCTGGTCCAGTTTGGCATTTTCTACTGCAATCCTATTTTATTTTGCTCTAGTGCCCATGATCTTTCTCCTGCTTATATACCACCCTACCAAAACCTTAAGTCCAGGAGATTGGACCCATTGGAGCATTTTTGGTCCATGCAATGATGCCCTTTACTTTCTGTCCAGAATTGGTTTTCTCAATAACTTGCACTAACAAGTTTTTGGTTTTGCCCTTATAACCTTGCCATCATCACTTGTATCTAAAGAGGCTATGATCTGGAGTTTTTGGCCACCCCAGGAGATGCCTAGATGACCATAGCATTCTGTCAAACACCTTGAGTGCATGAACAGAATTGGCATGAACTCTAGTTTGCATTTTGAACCTGCTTGCTTTGCCAAACCAGCATGTCCACTAAGCTCCTAGATAACTCTAACCTAGACCTGTTAGTCCCCAGCCTCATCCAAGCATCCTGGCATGCCTTGGCATTTTGTCGAACACTTGGCGTGCGTGCTTTGGCGCGGCCAGAGCGCGCGTTTTGCACATGTGTGCCCCCGAGTCGCCGCGTCTCGTTGCCGCCACCCCGCGTTCGTTCTGATCCGTGCCCGCCCCCAGCCAACGCGCCCGACCCCTCCCTCGTCGCAGAGCCGCCCTGGCCCCCTCCTGGCCCCCTACAGCGCCACCACCGCAAGCCGCCACCGCCGCTCCGACAGTCTCTGCCATGGACGGCGCCGCCCAAGCCACAGCCGCGCGCCAGCTCGCCCCTGGAACAGCTCAAACTTATCCCCTCACCCTGCCAGACCCCGCCAGCCAACGCCACACACCCCCTGGCTACAGAACGGCGGTTCGCCGGCGTTCTTATCCCCGGCCGCCACGGAACCGACCTACCACCTATAAATAGGGACCCCTGAGCTCCTCCAAACCCCCAGGCAACCTCAAGCCATCCACCTAGCACTCCCATAACCTGCAACCGACAGGGGGAGGTCTTCTTCCTCATCTCCGGCCAGTTCGGTCGCCGCCACACTCCGGTGCCGTGCGTCGCGAGGTGAACCCCCCAGTCCATCCAGTGCCACCATCCTCTCCCCCTCGATCTTGCGGAGCCACCCAGCACCTCAGCCTCGACCGGGAGCCACCATAGCCCAAACCCCCAATTGTTCCCGAAACGCCGTCCGCCGCGAAGCTCGCCGCCGGCGACTCCCTGCGTCCTCGCCAGCCTTTCGACCACTGGGAGGACCGCCGTGGACCAGCGGATCCATCCCTGCCCTCGGAGTCCCGTGGGGAGCCGCCGTTCGTCGACGGCGATCGCCGGAGCCCCGCCTTCGCTCGGACAGAGGAG